CCGTTCAAACTCCAAAAACGTGTACACTTTCTCTTGACACCCCATTCCGCAGCCTCTGATTAAAATGACTTTCCCATTATAGATCGCTATTGTAGGGTATTCTGCCTGGCTCAACCACATGACGCTCTTTGTTCTGCGAAATGTGTCTTTGATTTCGCTCTTTTCTTCCTCGTTCTCACCTTGGTCCTGACATTCGAGAAGCCTCCCGGTTCTGTGAGCACAAACCACAGTGACATTTTGGAGATAGACGTCAAGAGCCGTCTTTTCACCATCTTTTTCTACACCTTTTTAAAACTCCGACTTTTACTTTACTCAAGTCCGAAATTAAACGGCCATTCATACAATTTTCAGGGACTGGTTCAGAACTGCTGAGCTAAAATTCAAGCCCCCCCCAAAAAAAAACAAACAACTGCCTTGTTTATTCACTCTTGTTAAAAAATTCCTTTCTCAAGTTTTAGTAAGAGTTACGATACTTGCAACAGAAGTAAAGCATATAAGTGCGATTCCCTTCTTTTCTTTGAATATTGTTCCCGTAATAATGTTAACTGCTCTTTAAAAAAATAATATTTCACAGTTTCGTAATTCTCTTGTTCCCTTCCCTCTTTGTTCCTTCACCACACTTCGTCCTTGTTCTGGGTACTGTGCACTTCGTTACAGCTTGCCCCACAGAGTAGCTGCCAATACTCATCGGCCTTTTGCTGTATAAAATAACTAACGAAACACCACGGAGTAGCTACTAAAACCTACCATGAAGCTGTTACTTTTGCTAAAAAAATAATGGACTCGATACTGATGGGGAGAAAAATAGAAGCAACTTTACTACTGATCTAAAGACAGTTTTAACCGATGGTTGACATGGAACATGCAATAATCAAAAGAATGAAGCGCCGCGGACGCGTAATTGTTGCACGAGATAAGTAGCAACCGACACGTGCTGATTAGTCCTTATATCAGCACGTCTCGGTAGCAACTCGCCATGTGTATGTGTGCTTTGAGCTAAAGTATGTTACTGTGATTTCATTCTGCCATGGCACAGTTCGACGCGACATTGATGATTGCAAGGAGGTCAA